TCCGCAGAGACGTTCGGGGTCATCAAGAACCGCGTGCGGAAAACCGCATCCGCGGCCTCAGCGACCAGCACGAGCGGGCGCTGACGGAGCGGCGGAACCGGTTGGCCTCCCTCTTAGCCGCCGACAGCGCGGAGTGGCGCCGCGAGGTCGAGATGTTCGGCGACACCATCGAGGTCCGGAAGCAGCGCCTCAGCGACCGCGCCTACGCTTTGGGCGAGCGCCGCGAGAAGGAGCGCCAGGCCAACGTCGACGAGTGCTTCCGGCGCCAGCGCCGCCTGGCCTGCGACGACGTCCGGTCCCGCGACAGCCAGGCCGTCTTGGAAATGGTCGCCGAGAGCCGCAAGGACCAGATCCTCGAGAAGCAGCAGCGCCTCGAGGTGGAGGCGAAGGACGAGGAGGACTACGTCGTCAAGTGGCGCGCCCAATTGGAGGCCGCCGATAAAGTAGAAGCGGACAAGATCGCGTTCCAGATCTCGCGCCAGTTCGCCGTCAAGGACGTGCTCGACGAGCAGGTCAAGGACCTGCGCCGCCGCAAGGAGGCCTGCCAGGAGAAGCGCATGGACGACGCGAAGCGGGAATTAGAAGAGTGGAAGGTCGCCATGGACGCGGAGAAGAAAGCCGTCGCGGACGCGCGCGAGGACGCGCGGCGCCGCGGCGCGGACGTCGCGGGCTTCAACAACGTCTTCGACCGGCGGCGCGCCAAGGTCAAGGCCGAGACCATGGCCCACGACCTCACGCTCCTCGACTACGCGCTCCGCTGCGAGAAGGCCGACGACGCCAAGGACGAGGCCAAGGTCGCGCACGAGAAGGAGATGGCGCTCCGCTACAAGTCCTATCTCGACGGCTTCGAGAAGGTCAAGGAGGTCGACGAGGCGCGCGTCAACGCGGACCGCCTCGTCATCGAGAACCGCATCTGGGAGGCCAAGGACAAGGAGCAGCGCGACCAGATCGAGGCGCGCCTCTACTTGATGGCCCAGGTGGACCTCGGCCGCAAGCAGCAGATGGCGGACAAGGCCCAGGCCGCCATCGAGGAGCGCGCGGCCTACGGCGCGGAGATCCAGGCCATCCGCGACCAGCAGGAGGCCGCGAACCGCGACGAGGACCGGAAGCGCGATTTACGCCTCAGAGCCGCGCGCGCGAACCAGGCGGGCGTGCGCCAGCTCATGGTGTCCAACGCCAAGGCGCGGGCCGAGGCGAAGCAGGCCGAGTACCTCGAGGCGCGCCTCATGGACAAGGTCGAGATGGCCCACGCGAAGAGCGTCGCGAACGAGGGCGGCATCGTCAACACGCACCACCCCCTCCAGTCGACGAAGTGGTACACCTAGGCCGCGGCCCGCGCCGCCTCCCCGCCCGCCGACGAAGACCGAACCGCCCCCGCGCCGGAGCCCCCCCGCCTTCGGCCACCTTACGATCCTATTCACGACAAGCTTCACGACGACGGGACGGCATCGGACTACGCCGGGACGACATCGCGTCGGTCGTGCCGTGCAACTCGCAAGAAGCTGCCGCTTTGCGCCCAGTGCTCCAAGGGGATATAAATCTAGATGGGGTGGCAGGCGAAACGCGAGGTCCTCGTACTACTCGGGGCCGCCGCTAGCGTTTTCTTTCTTCTTCCACGCCGCAGCGCGCGGGCTGAGTGCAACGATGGCGGGTCGCGCGGCGCGGCGCGGCTGCGGAACCCTTCGACGGGGCGGGGCAGCGAATTTGGGCTGCTGAGATCATTGCGTTGGCTCGCGAGCGCGACGGTTGTTCGGCGGCGGGACGAGAGGGCGGCGGTGTGAGTCGAGTGTGCGATATTTTCTTGTCCTTAGAGGTTGGAGGCGCCCTATGGGTACCCGCGGGGGGCTCGAAACCTTCAGGACACACTTTTCCCACGATCTCAGAGCCTGCGCAGCCCCGGCGCCGACGGTGTCGCAACACAGTTTCTCGGGCAGCGTGCGGGCATTCGAGGTCGAGAACTTTTCGTGTCCTGAGATGCTCGAGCCCATCCATAGGTACCAACGAAGGGCTCTGCAGCGCCAGCAGACGGTCCACGACCATCATCATCGCGAACACG